GTAGTAGTACGTACGTACGTACGTACGTTACGTTAGTTAGTTAAGTTTAGTTTAGTTTAGTTTAGTTTGTTTGTTTGGTTGGTGGTGGTGGTAGGTAGGAGGAGGAGAGAGAGAGAGAGAGAGAGAGAGAGAGATACCTGAAAATTCTTGAGGAACTTCTTGGCTCCATCATAGAGCCATGGAATTCCAAAATCAAGGTTACCCACCAATATTGGATCAACAAGAATGTTCAGTCCCTCAACACCCCACAACCAGCTATTTCCCTGAACCCCATAAAACCCATTAAAGTAAAAAACAATATGCACAGAGTTGAAGTGTGAGAAACAAGCGCATAGACCATGATAATATACCTCCAAATAGGTTAGACTTATAATCGAATTTCCATTGTTTTTCTTCTCTTTCTTCTCATCTTTCTCTGATGCTTGCCCACCAGACACCACAGCAAACACTCTGGTACCAAATCTATAGAGAGAGAAAGAATATCAATTAGAGAGAGAAAGATGGAGACAAGCGCAAGGTTTCAGGAGCAAACATGGATGGATTCGAGAGACCTGCGAATGGGGGCCCCTCTGAGTTGGGAAGAGAGAGAAAATTTAGAGTGGCGAATGGGAGAGGAAGAGACGAAGAGCGAGGGGGAGCGTGCGTTTAGAGAGAGAATGTGAGGAACAATGGAGAGATGAAGAGAGAGAGTAGACATTATACAGAGAGAGTGAGGCTTTGCGTTCGAGATGAGTTCTCCCTCCTTACGATCCTCTCTCTCTCTCCATAAAATCCATATAGAGAGAGGAGAGTGTATGGGTGTGTGTTCCAGAAAAACGAACTCCTTTCTTGCGATATTGGTAATGGACACGGACCCTGGGGCAAAACTTGAAACTCTACAGTTGGCCCGGCTATAAATCTTGGACCTGAATACTGTTTAAATCTGGATGTGAGTTCGGGCCCACGTTTTCCAATCCATAGAAATATAAAGGGTCGTAACTCCGTATTCAAATATGGATCTGGGTTCGAGCCCGACCTCTTTCAATTTATAGAAATATAAAAGGTCATAACTCCGTGCTGGTTGGGTTTTTCAATTCATAGAAATATAAAAGGTCTTAACTCATATGTTGGGTCACGGGAAGGGTGAAATGAAAATGGTCCTAACTTTAGGCTTTTTATGCATAAAGGGGCCGCTCTATGGACTTGTACCATGCTCATTGCCAGAACTTTTTTACGGTCACACCAAGTGATGGCCCCTAATTTATACAAATATATTAATATATATTTAAATGGGTGCAGTTTGTATAAAGCCTAGGTTCTAAACAATCAAATTGGAGCCTACCTTCAAATAGTATCATGTGGTTTCATTACTAGAAATCTTTGTGATAGCCTTAAAATATATTTTTATATTTATGTATAAAGTTCAAAACTTCAAAAATAGTGTAGATTGTCAGATTTATAAACACTTGAAAATCTTGAAAATTGACGGTTCAAAAATGTATTACAAAATACACTATTTCCAAAACTTGAAATCCATTTTTTTCTCATGCCCATACATCTTGATGTCAAAATGACCAATTTGAAGATATTTGAGCATCAAAACAACCTCTTCTAATGAAATTTTTGAGGTAGGCTCAAATTTGAATGTTTAGAGCCTCGGCTCTATATAAACTTTCCCCTACTTAAATATATACATATTTTAATTTTTGGGTCGAATCCAAATCCCACATTATATTTTTGAGTCTGGGTCTAGGTCGAGGGATCCACATTAAATTTTCTATTCCCGGTTTCGATCCGATCCATTGCACCTCTCTCTCTCTCTCCATCTCTCTACCGGGGTTTAAGTCTTCTATACACTAATCCAAACAGATCTTAATCGCCCAATATCCAGGCCGACCCATTGCCCCACTCTCTCTCCCCCGCTGTCTCTCTTTCCACCACGGTTTAAGTCTCCTTTTTTGTGTGTTTGATGAAAAGTACTTGTTTTACATATTTTCTAAGCCATTACAATCTACTCTGTAAGCTGACAACCATTACAATCTACTATGTAATCCGACAACCATTACAATATACTCTGTAAGCCGCATCAAAAAAAAACAAAAAGAAAAGCAAAAGAAAAAATAAAACATAGGAGAAACTTGAACAACAATTAGATTGTTAACAGTCGCCCCCAACTTTGATAGTCCATTGGCCTCCATATTGCTTTCCCGATAGATATGTCTGACAGTATATTCAAATTCCATACAGTGAACATTCACTTTATCAATAAGGCTCTGAAACTTGCATGGAATTCTGCCTCCTTATTTAATCATTTCACAATATTCATGAAGTTCCTTTCTATCTTCACTAGCCTTTTAAAATCTTTTACAAGTTTAATCCCATGTAATATTGCTTTAAGCTCAGTCTCATTCGTAGTAACAACACCTATTGATCTATAAAATTTCAAAAGAACTTGACCTTCCCAATCTCTAACTATTCCTCTTATACCTCCCTGACCAGAGTTTCCCAAGGAACACACATCAAAATTTAGTTTGATCTAGCCATTTCTAGGACACTTCCATAATCCTATCTTAATTTTCTTATCAGACGTCTCTCTAATTAACACAATTAGATTGTACATCATATCAACTCTAGAAACACCCCCCACCATATTTCATTAATGCTAACAAGCTCTGCTGCTGTCACACGAATTTTTTCTATTAGCTCATTAATATATAAACTTTTATTTTCAAAACTTCTTATATTCCTATCTTTCCATATCTCCCACATCATCGTCGCTCTTACAATTCTCCAAATAATTTTGCTTTTTTTACTCATACCAGTTATCAACCAGTCTCCCAGAAGACTGTCAATCCCCACATGACAGTTAACACTTAACCCCACCCAAGCTAGCACCCATCTCCAAATTGCTTTAGTAAAAGTGCAATTCAGAAACAAGTCATAAATAGATTCTACTTCTTTTTTGCAAAAGATGCATGCATTTACTAGAATTTGCCCTTTCTTTCTTAACATAATAGTAGTTAAAATTCTATATAGCTTTATTAGCCATAATCAAGCACAAATCTTTAAAGGAATAAGCTACTACCATAATTTTCCTGCATCTTTATAAGACCATCTAACTTTATCATCAAACGGTAATTTGTAAGCTGAACTCACCGAGAAACAACCACTTCTACTTGGTTCCCATACAATTCTATCTTGTTTTTCAGGGAATAAAAAACGCTTTGCATACTTATGCACGTCATATATTAGTCTATAACGACATCACTGATTCTTCTATAAGAATAATTCACATTCCAACTCACACAAAAACCTTTTCCAGTCACCATGTCATTGACCATGCAGTTTTTAGTATTTGTTTTTTCAAACAAATTAGGAAATTGAGATTTTAAATTACAGTCCCCCACTCATTTCTAATGCCAAAACTTTATAGTATCACCCTTCCCTACAATCTTTCTGAAATTACTAAGGAAGAAAATTTTGTGTGCCAAAATACCTTTCGAAATATACGAAATACCCTTAGTGTTAGCCTCTTTTGTAACCAAACTAAGATTCCTATCTTCCCCATACTTGTCTGCAAGTATTTTCCTCAATGGCTGATCTTTTCATGTGCACATCTCCACCACCACTTAGTAAGTAATGCACTATTCATGCATTTCAATCTTTTTATCCCCATGCCACCATCACTTATTGAAGTACAAATTTTTACTCATTTAACCAAATTATACTTCTTCTTCTCCTCAGTACCACCCCACATAAATCTTCTCATCAAACATTCCAAACTTTTAACAATCTTGCTAGGCATCTTGAACAGAGACATATAATAAATAGGAATGTTGGACAGAGCAGCTTTAATCAAAGTTACACGATCCCCCGAAGGATAGTAATTTAAATTTCCAAGAATCTCACATGTATTGCAATCGTTGAATCAAAGGGTCCCAAAGATATATTGGTTTAGCATTATCAAACAAAGGCAAACCGAGGTATTTTAGAGGAAAATAGTCAGTGCCACAGTTCATTTTCAGTGCATAATTTTTTACCTTATCCTCATTACATGCTACACCTATCAAATGAGTTTTTTGAAGATTCACTTTTAGTCTTGTAACCACATCAAATACTCTAAGGAATCTTTTAAGAGTTTGTATTTCCATCTCATTTGCGCCATAAAAATTAAAGTATCATCCGCATATTGCAGATGTGATACCATTGTCCCATCATCTTTCACTTCTATCACCCAGGTGCTTATGAAAAGGCACATTACATAAATTTGTAATAGGTGCATAACCTACAGTAAAAGCCCCTTAGAAATACTTGATAATTGCATCCTTCAATCCTTTTTCACCACCTTCTATTACCCATTCAATTTTAAAACTTTGCAAATTGTTAACACGTTTCCTAGCATTTACAGTTGCATGGAAAAAATGTGTATTCAAATCACCTTCTTTTAATCACCTGCCCCTTGATCTTTGTCTCCAATATGTTTCCTCTACTTTTTAACAATCATAAAGATGTCTATTCAACTCATTTATCAGTGTAACATTTCCATCTTAATAACTATTGATTCCTATTCTTTCATGTCCGACTCCCTGATATTTGACATGATGTCCTTAATATTTCTTTTATAGTTAATTACATTCATTTTTCTCCAATCCACTAACTCTTTTTTAACTTCCTAAATCTTTTTTGTAGCTACATAACCAGATCTTCCCTGAATATCATTCTTCTTCCATATTTCAGATATCAGATCATTCATCGACTTTTCATTAGTCCATGCCATCTCGAATTTAAAATATCCGTACCTACCCTTTTTTATTCACTTTCCCATAGTAATGGAACGTGATCAAAAGAACATTTAGGAAAATGCTCTAATAGATCCCATGGGGAATAGAACAACCCACCCTGAGTTTACAAGAAACCTATCTATTCTTGTCATAATGGGATTAGTAACATATTCATTAGACCAAGTAAATCTAGCACCACTTGCCGGCAAATCAAGCAAAGCAAAATCATAATTAAATTTTGAAAATTCTCTTATACAAGAAGTAATATGATGATTTATACTAGATTTAGTAGGCCATATGATAATATTAAAAACCCCACCAATTATCGAAGGCAAAATTGAACATATTCCACACATTAACAAGCTCATTCCATAATATTGTTTTGAAACTGGGAATATTCGGTCCATACACATTTGAAACCAAAAAACGAACACCATTTGGAATAAGCAATAAAACACAAGATAACGACCATTCATTTACAAAAGCCCATTCACAACAAAGAACATAAAGGTCCCACACTGTCTATAAACCCCGTGAAAAACCCAAAACATTCTTACAACAAAATATAACTGGCCAAGAACCCCAAACATACTTTACATCCATCAAACTAGGATTAGAGATCTTAGTTTCTTGAAGCAAAACCAAATCAGGGCTTCCTTTCTTAACCATAAAAAGAAGCTCTGATTTTCTTTTTAACCCACTAAGACCCCTAATATTCCAAATCAAAGTCCTAATCATTTGGAAATGGAAAGCTGACTACACTTGGTAGCATATTTGCTAACAGGCATGATTTTTACTCAACTTGAGGCATCAGGCTTTCCCGCACCCTTGTTTTCCTTCAATTTTTCTTTTCCTTTTTGCTCTAGTTTTTCGACTACTCTCTTTTACTTTCTTTTTTGCTCTCTTCTTCACTGAATTCTGCATTTCCCGAACTGTATCAACAATTTCTTTTGCGGAATCCTTAGCTTGAATCTGCATAGCACCAATCATTAGATGAATATGTTCTCGCTCTTCCTCTTTTTCCACATCCTCATCTGCTATGACACATAGAGGTCTAGCATCTATCACAATTTCCTCTTCTTGTATATTAGATCCCTGGTCTTTCTCAAACACCACTAAAGGGTATTTCTGCTCCCCCTCCTTCATCTTG